CTCCTGCACACTCCCAACTGGGGATTGGGCCTGAAACCCAGGCATGTGCCCTGACCAGGAATTGAACCGGGACCTCTCAGTCCATGGGATGACGCTCAGTCCACTGAGCCACACTGGCTGGGCAAGGATATAACAACTTTTTAAACACTTAAAATTAAAAGCTAACAAATGCCCATTTGAAAATATTACTATACTACACTTCTGTATTATAAAACATTTATAGGAAATGAAGGATGATGAAAGCCTTCACTATAATTAAATGAATTTGTTATGAACTGCTTGGAAGTTTTACTGATTGTGAAATTCAGAGTTTACAAAAATTCCTAAAATAGAAAGTTTATGAACCCTTTAATCAGCCCACCCATGTAAGATAACCATAGAGACAAGTTTGGTATCCATTCCTCCAGTTTTAAAAGCCTTTGCTAGCCCTGGCCGGTTTGGCTCAGTGGTTAGAGCGTTGGCCTGTGCTCCAGAGAGACCCGGGTTCGGTTCCCGCTAAGGGCATGTACCTCGGTTGCAGTTTGTCCCCGGCCCTGGTTGGTCATGCGGGTGGCAGCCACTCGATGTGTCCCTTCACGTCGATGTTTCTCTCTCCCTCTCTCTTCCTCTCTCTCCCTCCCGCTCTATCTGAACAAAAAATGGAAAAATGTCCTCAGGTGAGGATAAAAAAAAATAATAATAATAAATAAATAAATAAAAGCCTTTGCTATATGTGCCTTAATCCTAATGGTAGAATCTGGAGAAACACTGCACTGGTGCCACTCCCCCAACCTGTGGAATGAACTCTTGTTGGAGTTTCTGTGTCCTCCTCGCATCTATATAAGAATTAAATTTAGAGACCTGGCTGGTGTGGCTCAGTTGATTAGATCATTGTCCTATGTACCGAAAGGTTATGGGTTCGATTCCTGGTCAGGGTGATACCAGACACTGAATGTGTCTAAGGTCACCTGTCAGTACTTGAGCCAAATTAAGCAGAGACAGGGTTGAATCATATATGAGTGTTTATTCCAATAATGCTGGCAGTATGGGAAGAGCATCAGGTCATCCTGGAAATTCTGCTCTGACCCCCGCCCCTTGCCAGCTGGCTGATTATATATAGGTGAGGGAGAAAGCTACGTGCAGCTGCGAGTGTAACAAGGAAAGGAGAGGGTAGGATCTACAGTCTGGCCTCCAGGAGCTCAAAAGTTCAATAACAAGTTGCCTAATCTTCTATGATGTTACAAACGGCTCAGCCCATTCCTGGGACCGGAGAATGGTCAGCTTTCCTGAGGCAAACTCCTGGAGGGGGTCAGGATCCAGGCATAGCAACCATGTCAAAGCATGTCCTGTCTTTGGTTTATTCTCAGAATGTGTTTCTTTTCTGAGTAATGGACTCATCTGGGCTCTGAGATGTCCTTTCTTTTAACAGCTCTGTTTTTCTTCTTGCAGCACATCCTCCAGTTCCACAGGGTCTGTAAGAAAACCTCTTATCTATAGTTAGTGAGGTGAATAATCATTAAACAACTGTGGTTCTATTCTTATTACGTGTTTTTCTCCTATCAAGGATGCATACCTAGGTTGCAGGTTCGATCCCCAGTCAGGGTGCATATGGGAGACAACTGATCAGTGTTTCTCACATTGAGGTTTCTCTCTCTCTCTCTCCCTTCCTCTCTAAAATCAATAAAAAAGCATATTCTTGGGTGAGGATTAAAAAATATGCATATAGCCCTGGCTGGTTTGGCTCAGCAGTTAGAGTGTCGGCCCGTGGACCAAAGAATTCAGTCCCCAGCCCTGGTGGGGGTCATGCAGGAGGCAACTAGTCAACGTGTCTCTATCACATTGATGTTTCTCTCTCTCTCTCTCTCTCTCTCTTTAAAAATTTTTTTTATTTTTAATTTTATTTTTGTTACAGATGTTTCTCCTTTTTTACCCCATTGACTCTCTCTCTCTCTTTCTTTCTTTCCCTCCCTCCCTCACACTCTACTTGAAGATAAATCTTAAAAAAAAATCCTCGGGTGAGGATTTAAAAAAATAAAAACGTACATATATAAAAACAACAAACAGCACTTATACATTATGCTGTGTAAATACGTTAGTAACATATATTGCATTAGCATCTATGTGCATCCCGTGTAAAAACCTGTGCCTTTCAGTGGAGATATTTCTCATGTCAAGTCCATTTAAAGTGTATTTTCCTGTTGCACCCTCTACCTGTTTTCTTAACCTCATTCTCAGGTTTCTCCCAGCTCTCTATCCTGCTCAATTCCCCTTTTCCCAGGGCTGCACATCCTCTTACAGTCTGGACTGACACTCAGCACAGCTGTTGTCTTGGGACACGGCTCCACACTTTCTTGGGTGTGACCTCCTTTCCGGTTCCATGTTATCATCTCCTTGGTTTGCTCTGCCATGCTGTTGAACTACATGCTTGCAAAAAAGCCTGTGTTGGAGGTAAACTTTCCAAGTCCTTGCAGGTCTGAAAATTACTTTCTGTCCTCCTACCAAGTGATAGTTTGTTTGGGCATAGAGTTTGTTTGCCATCAAAACTTTGAAGGCCATGTCCTCTAGCATCCAGAGTTGCAGATGTGAGAGTCAGCAGCCAGTCTGAAAGTTTGTTCCTTTTGAAGTGATTCATTTTTTTCCTGGAAGCTTTGAGGATGTTCTCTTAATCTGCAGTGCTCTAAATTTCCATGGTGCTATGACTACATATATTTGTTTCATTCCTGGTTGGACATTTTGGTGGCTTGCAGCCTTCAGCTGTAGGAAGATATCTATCTTGTATTTCTTTGAAAATTTACTCATCTTTTTCCTTCCTGAACTTGTATGAATTAGTGATTGAGCTGTTTAAACTGACCCTGTATGTCTCTTATATTTTCTTGATTATTTTATTTTATTCCTTCTGATTTTTCTTACTTCGTCATTTCCAAGACCTCTTTCTTGTTCTCTGAATGTTCCTTTTTTCTTAGAACTCTTTTTTCTTTTAATACAGTAGCTTCTTGAATTAATTTGATACTTAATTACATGGACAGGACTTGCTTTTATACCCCTGTCTTGACCCCTGGTTGCCCTCCGCACCCTCCACAATACCTGCCATCTCTGGGCTGCTGGGACATTCTGCTCCCTCCTCTGATACAGCCCCTTCCTCCTCAGGACTTCAAGGCTGTGTGTCCTCTTGCTTCCATCCACTTTTCGTTTTCTGAAAATTGGTTGATACTTCTTATCTATCAGTGGCCCCTCCACACATTTTTTTCTTTGTTGTGGGTTTATTATCTGTATTTTATTCTTATACTGCTATTATCATAGAATATTAGAAAGGAGAAGAGAGGAATACTTATGTTCAGTATGTAAATAGGAAGCCAGCTTACTATAAAAAAACATAAACCATAGAAACCAAAATAATATGTGGTTTTCTTTCAATACAATCTTTTTTCTCTGCTTCCTTGAAAATGGTGGTTCTCTTAAACATTGTACTGATGAAAGAAGCAGTCATAAGGACCACATATTATATGATTCCATGTATATGAAATGTCCAGGTAGGCAAATCCTTACAGATAGAAAGTAGATTCGTGGTTCTTTAGTGCTGCTAATGGATGTGGGGGTTTTTTTGGGGTGGGTGATGAAAATATTCTCAAATTGATTGTGGTAACAGTTGCACATCTCTATGAATATACTAAAAGCCATTGAATTGTACACCTTAAACACTCTGAACAGGTAAATTATGTGAAGTCTATCTCACTGAAGCTAGAAAAAATGTGGTGGTCCTTTTTGATATGTTAGACATTATTAGGCATGTTCTCTGTTAGTCTGGGATCGAAGAAATCTTATTCAGTGTTAGATATACAGGCAGATTGTGATAGTAAAGATGGAATCATCTGACAGTGCCCACAACCTTTTATTTAATAGGTTCAAAAATAAAGAAGCTGGTGTATCCACCTGGTTTCATGGGATTAGCTGCCTCTCTTTATTATCCACAACAAGCCATCGTATTTGTCCAGGTAAGTTAGACCCAGTAAGTTGAGATGTCCCTTATTCTTGCTTAGATATGTATGGGTTTGCTGCTTAATTTTATTTTAGAGCTTTTATAACACCAGACCAAAATTTGTTTGCACATATAAATGAATACAGCAAATTTAAATGTTTGTCTCCACTAACTATGCACTTCAGTTCTGGCCCTCCTTCCAATCATGTCAGTATTCAGAGAATGCACACTAATTTGAATATCAATAAAAGAAAACTTAAGATATCATTTTTGCCTTTGACATGGAAGTCTAGAGACTCAAATTCCAAAGTGATAGTCATAGGTCATTCTTAGTTCGGATGGATCTGGTTACAACCTTCTCTCCTTGGAGTTGCAGGCACAGACCTGTGCTTGGCCCTCTGTGCCTTCGCCCTGGTCCTGCAGCTGGCCTCACTTTCCTTGCTGGGGACTTCAGGGGGTGCAGTCCCCTCTGCTGGGAGCACCCTTCTCGGAGCTATCAGTTGGCTACTCCTTTCTCACCCTTCAGACCTTAGCTTACTGGCATCCTGGCAAGTAGAACACAGTGGCAGGCAACATGGCTAAAGCTGATGTCTTAGTCAGCTCGAGCTGCCATTCAAAACACCACACACTGTGGGGCTGAAAGAACAGAACTTTATTTTCTCACCATTCTAGAGGGTGGAAGTCCAAGATCAAGGTGTCAGCAAGGTTGCTTTCTCTGGAGGCCTCTGTCCTTGGCTTGCAGATGGCCACCTTCTCACTGTGTCTTCACATGGCCTTTTCACTGTACTCGCACATCTCTGGTGTCTCGTCCTCATCATACAGTGACACCAGTCATATTGCATTAGAGCCCCACCCTCATAACCTCATTTAACCTTAAAAGGTCCTATCTCTAGATATAGTTACATTGTGGGTTAGGGCTTCAACATATGAATTTTGCAGGAGGACATAATTCCATCCATAACAACTATATCAGCAGGTCTCAAAGTATGGTCCCTGGACCAGCAATATCTGGATCACCTGGACACTTGTTAGAAATGCAAATTCTCACAGAACCTGCAGGAACCAACAATGTGGACAAATGAAAAATGCCTTTTGTCTATAAATTGCAGTGATCCTATATAAACATGGAGGTTTCTGTATGGTTTAAGACAGCTGGCTAAGTCTGATCGTTCCCCTCCACACAGCCTTTAAAACCTGCACTCCTGCTTCCCTTGTTGCCTTGTTTAATATCTCTGCTGACTAAGTGTACTGGATTATTTTATTTTATTTTTTTCTTTATGGATTTTAGAGAGAGAGGAATGGAGCAGGAGAGAGAGATAGAAACATCGATGAGAGAGAACATTGATTGGCTGCCTCCTGCATGCCCCCCACTGGGGATCGGGCCCACAATCTGGGCATGTGCCCTGACTGGGAATCAAACCAGTGACCTCTTGGTGCATGGGTCAACACTCAGCCAGTGAGCCACACTGGCCGGGCGTGTACTGGATTATTAATAGACAACTAAGTGGGGTTACTTCTGCATCCATCTTAACTGGTTTTAGGAAATAGGAGTCCACTGTGCTGATTGCTGCTAACAGTCAGGGTACAGTTTAGGTGTTAGAGTTGATATGAAGGGTTTACTCAAGTTAAATTTTACTTGATCCCAATGAAATGCACCTGCAGCAGACAATGAGAGAAGACAGAAGCTGTCATGTCATGTCCATCCTCAAAGTCACCATGGGTTTGGATTTGTTTTGAGTGGTTTTTTTTGTTGTTTTTTTTTTTTTTTTTACCTTTTTCCTCCTTTATGACCTTTGGGACATTGGAATACCCAGGGAACACTCCCCCATCAGTGTAACTCTACAGACTTTGCTGCTGTTGGTAGTGTGGTTGTCAAATTTTTGTGATAGAGAAAAATTTTTTTGGATAAAAATAAACATTTTTGAAAGTTAAAAAAGAAATGCAAATTCTCAGGCCCCAACCCAGACCTATTGACAGACCCTTTGAGAGTTAGGGCTAGCAGTCTGTGTTTTAGCAAGCCCTCCCAGGGATTCTAACGCCCATGAAGTTTGAGAACCACTGATATAGATTAGATTCCTTCAGGGTGGTGGTGTCTGAATTTGGTGGGACTCGAGAGTTCCTTGGAAAACTGGCAAGAGCGAAGCAGGCTGTAGATTTTGAGTTCCCGGACAGCTGATGGAGACAGGGACCAGTTACCAGAAGTGCTGTATCTCCCCGAGACTTGGTCCTAGGAGGAGCAGCAGTGCTGTCACCAGACTTGAACTCTGAGGGCTCTGAGCCAGGCTGACGTGACACTGAGCTCCCTGGAGTCCTCGTGATAGGATTGAGTCTAGATTCCTGTTGTAGATGGGATCCCAGTGGCTTCAGCTGTGGGAAATTGATGGCTTTGGTGGCAAATTCCGGTAATATCTTTCTAGCATGGGCTTGACATTGTTTATAGCCGTCCTGGAGGCAGACACTTAATGTTCTTCTGTCTGCTTCAGTCCCAGCTCAGGAACAGGGGATCACTCTGCCTGTTCTAGATCATAAAAATAATCTGTAACATCATGTCAGTCTGTTATGGTTTAAACAGTAAATGGATAGGGTGGGCCTGGCTGCTGAATGAGAAGCATAGGTGGCTGTCCCCTGAGTAGCAGTCTTTTTTAAATCTTACATGCCATAGCATATGTTGAAAAAGATCTTTTGCATTCACAACCAAGATAGTAGGATGCAAATCTGAGTTTGTATTCTAATTTATTTTTAAAGTCAGTGAGAATGAGTTTTGTCCTTTGTTTTGTACTTAGGGTAAGCCAGAAAAAACAACTTTATTTTCACAGGTATAAAACATTAGTGATCTGTTTAGGATGATGAAAAAGGTCCAGAAATGGATAGTGGTGATGGTTGCATACAATTGTGAATGTATTTAATGCCACTGAATTGTACACCTAAAATTGTTAAAATGGTAAATTTTATGTTATGTGTATTTTGCCACAGTAAAACAAAACAAACATCAGTGATTGAAAAAGATTTTCTGATGTTGTTTTAGTGTCACTTGTTTCCTATTTCACAGTTTAAATTGTTGTGGGTTGTTTAAATGAATATTCTGACTTTGGACAAGCCTCTAAATCATGTATATTCTGTTTTCTGTTTAGTAGTGTTTGGATAAAAGTACCATAGAAAACCCTTAAAGTAATGGCGAATGTTATTTTCCTCTCAGAAATTTATAACACCGAAAACAGTCATATATGTGGTAAATGCTCGAAATGTCTCCTGATGGGTCCAAGAATCTTATAATAACATATTTTAAGAACAGTTGGAGCAACTGGAAGAATAAAACTTGTAAGAAACCAGCATGTTACAATGACTGCTAGACTTACTAGCACCATGACTTTAGGCAAGTCACTTGGCCTCTGAATATTTCCTTATTATTTTTGCCTACTTACCATACAGGGTTGTTATATATAATAAAGATAATTCATTTGAATGTGCTTTGGAAACTAAAATGCTATATATGGCTAAATTATTATAAAAATTAGGAAGAGAATAATAACTTTTCAGGAATTTGAATTATTGTCATGTGGAAGAGTAATTGACATTCTTTGTCATAAATAGGACCAATTAATGCAAATTACTGGAAGCATTTTTTTTTTAAGAAAGCTCAGTATTTAAAAAAAAGTTTCCAGCCACTAAAGCTAGCTAGTCAAAGATGAACAAGTGCCTTTTAAGGTAGTAAACACCCTGACCTCCAAATATTCTCTGATCCTGGGGCCTTTGTCTCAGGATGTTGTAGAAAGGATTTTGGATCAGGAGGCAAAATCCCTCTAGGAACTTGAAGACTCTATGTTTTGGGGGACCTGGGAAGACAGAGAGTATCTTTATCGTGTTACCAGTTTTCTACCTAGCCCCTAAAATGAATGATTGCTTTGCAGCTTGGCAAATGTGACTTGGATGACTGCCATGTGCTAGGCGCGGTAGGTAGAAGCCTACCTGTGTCTGTGTCTGATTTTCAGGAATTTCCCATATCAACCGTGATCTCCTACAATGTCCTTGAAATTGTGAAAGTTTGGAATATACACTTGATTGATGGCAAATCATTTAAAATGATACCTACACACAAACTATTTTTCTTCTTACGCCATCCTTCTTACTATTTTTTATTTGCTCATGTTGCACAGTTTTAATGTGTATGTCTCCAGGCCTCTATAGCCATCGTATGCTTAAATACAGTTCTATTGGAAACAGGAAGAAGGAAAGTGGAAATTTCTGTTCCTTACCAGTCATGTATAGACTTCCAATGGATCTTTTATATTTTGTTTTAAGGTCAGTGGGGAGAAATTATATGACTGGGGTTTACGAGGATACATAGTCATAGAAGATTTGTGGAAGGAGAACTTTCAAAAGGTGAGAAAGATCTTTTTCATTATCTTCCTTTTGGTTTAAATATGTGGTTTCTCTAGGGTTTTGTAAAATTCTTGGTAACCCTGTTGCTCAATCATGCCTTTTCTGTTTGTTTGCTATATCTCTTGCTCAGATTCTCTGGTGACGTTAGTAGAGGAGCAATAGAACTTGTAGGCCTTTGCTTATTACCGGCAGGGCTGAATGAATGACAACCATAAAATGCATTCCACAGCAGTCTTAGACCATAATTGCCACTGTATTGTATTAATAATTTGCTCAAAGTATAGCATATTATCGGAAAGTTTATCAAAACTGAATACAAAGAGAACATACCGAGCTCCCAGGCAAAAGGCAAAAGACAAATAAGTAAGACTCCTCTTGCTATCGTAAGCTGGAGGTGTCATCTTCTATCTCTTCTCACATCCACATAGCTGATTGGATGTTGCCCATGTTTTCTGGAATTTTCTCTTTCCCTGATAAGGAAGAATGCGTACAGAACAAGTCATCATGTCTCCTCTGGGCACTCAGAGGCACAGCTGGCTAAGGAAGAATTAGAAATCTTATATTAACATACCTTCTGCATTGTAAATTGATGGAAGTTCATTTTGACTCCTATCATCTCAAATCAAAATACTCTTTTAATAATATAAATAACTAATATATATATATATATATATATATATATATATATATATATATATAACTATCTCTAAATTAAAATCTAGAATTTGAAACTGGGATTTGGAAGTAATGTCATAGAATAAATTATAAGCCCCCTCATTGTATACATAAATAATCTTCCAGTGAAATCTTATTTTGTATTTGTTTCTTTTTTTAAAAAAAAATCCTCATCCAAGGATATTTTTTCATTTATCTTCAGATAGAATGAGAGGGAGAGGGAGAGAGAGAGAGAGAGAAAAAAAAAACATCAACGTGAGAGAGACACATCGAGTGGTTGCCTCCCACACCAAACTGCAACCAAGGTGCCCTTGACTGGAATTGAACCTGTGACTCTTTGGTCTGCAGGCCTATGCTCTAACCACTGAGCAAAACATGCCAGGGCTGTTTCTTTCTTTCTTTTTTTATTGTTGATATTCTATGGATGTCACCCTTTCCCCCCTCCCTTTATCTACCTCCACCCAGCCCCTGTCTTCCTCCCTCTGGCCACCACTACTTCCATTGAAATCTTGACTGAATTTTGTACTGGTTTCTAAAGGAATTATTAGTCTCTCTTGAGCCTATTTAAATTAGCTCTTCAGTAGGAAGTTCTGTATTAATATCAAGTACCCTTTGGTAATCCCCTTTAAAGAATAAACGCTCTTTGTTTTACTTTCATTTCGCTGGCATTTTCTTTGCAAGCTTCCTTTCCTGTTTAAAAAATTTCTTAAGTCCACACTGACTTTTTATGGGAAAGAAAATACTAGAATGTCAGGGAAGCTATCACAGCCTCAGTTCTGAGTGTTCACTGTGTTGTCAGGCAGACACATGCACACCAAAGCCAAGCGGGGTCCCCTGGAGCCTCTCACTTGGAAATAGTTTTCTCTCCTCTGATTCAGCCCAGTGCACAAGCAACAGGACTGTGGTTGGAGTAAAAGTCATCAGGCCAGCATTTTATGATCATTTGAAAATGTTAGATTTTAAAGCCACTCAAATTTATATGCGTGCATTTGGGAAATGAGATAGTAAAGATGTTTAATTAGCTCATAGTTGCTCTGCATTTCTATCTCTCATCTTCTAAGCCCTTGTCCTCTTCAGGGTCATGGAGAACTTAGTGTTCTTCCAGTTGTTTACTCTCAAAGAATGATTTT